CTATCCATCGGTCGGGTTGTGTAGAAACCCTCCCATTACGACGAGGTACCGTCTGTACTGGCACACTATCAGTGTTACGTGTTGCAGTACTATGTGATGTATCTACTTGCGTACTCGGTGGAGAACTATCGATATCTCTCCCTAACTCCTCTAGGATAAGTTTACTACTGGGCTTATGATCTATGATATAGTCTTCTTCCAAGAATCTAGCGTTCGTACTAACGATCACCTTCTGATCCTCAGGACTATAAAATAAACCACCTTTCGTTTCCTTGGAATAGCCGACAAACAGTCTCACTTCTGATCGTTTCTCCAACTTGCCAGCCTCCTGCACTAAGACATGTGCAGGGCAACCCCAAATTCGAATTTGTGAGAAACTAGGCTTGCGCCCTTTCCACAACTTATAAGGAGTACTGTCTACTGATTTTGAAGGAACAAAATTCAGAATGTAACATGCTGTCTCTAATGCAAATCCCCAAAACGAATCTGGTAACTTCGAATAACTCATCATTGACCTAAACATTTCCATAAGAGTTCTGTTTCTTCGCTCTGCAACCCCGTTCTGCTGTGGCGTGTCGGGTGTAGTCAGCTGGGATTCAATCCCTGCTTCTGATAGGTATATCCTAAACTCTCCAAAGAGGTATTCGCCTCCTCGATCAGATCGAAGACACTTGATACTTTTACCTTGTTGTTTCTCCACAACTGTCCTATACTCCTTGAATTTTTCAAAGCATTCGGACTTGCGGTGCAACAAGTAAATGTACCCATATCTAGAATAATCATCAATAAAAGTGACGAAATACTCATAGCCTCCTCTAGCTTGGATCGACATAGGACCACACAAATCAGAATGAATCAATCCTAGCACTTCTTGGCTCCTTCGCCCCTTTGCCGAAAACGGCCTCTTGGTCATCTTACCTTCTAGGCAGGACTCGCAAGTCTGGTAATGATCTTCTACTGTACCAAGATGCCCAGTAGATACCAACCTTTGAATCCTCCTAAGGTTGATGTGCCCAAGCCTAAGGTGCCAAAAATATGCTTGATTAGTCGAAGACTCTTTTCTCTTATTTGTTTTAGTCGAGACATTATTCGATTCATTTTGTTGCAGTGTGGGAGATTTTGGTTTCAGAACATATAAATTGCCAACCATTGAACCAGAACAAATCAAATGATTACCATAACGAATAACAACTGAGTTATTAAACGAAACTGAATAACCATTCAAAATGAGTTTAGAAACTGAAATTAAATTCTTCCTAAAACTTGGAACAAAAAGACAATTGTTCAAAACTAAAATACTAGCATCAAATACTAAAGTAACTACTCCCACTGCAACTGCTGCTACTTTCGTAGCATTGCACATGTAGACTGTAATCTCTCCATGCCAAAGCTGCTTGGTTTCCTGAAACCCCTGCAAAGAATTGCAGACATGATCAGTGGCTCCAGTATCTACACACCAGGTACTGGTAGATACAACCGCTAAACATGTTTCTACGACGAAAGTATGAGAGTTACCTTCTTTGCCCTTCTTGAGGAGAGGACAATCGACCTTCCAGTGCCCTGACTTATTGCATTTGTGGCATCTACTTTCGGCTTCTTTGCCACAGCCTGTTGAGGCACTAACTGGGTGCTCTGTATCTTTGCCTTTCCTGCAGCCTTCTTCCTCTTCCTGCCCTTGTGAGGCCTGGAAGGTCCAGCTTGCTCGGCAACCATCACAACTGATTTCTGAGTGAACAAGGCCTCAGCCGACTGGAGTTCTGACAACAGTTTAGGAAGAGCCATGTGCATATTGTGCATTTTATAGTTCAACCGGAACTGATCAAAACTCTTCGGCAGAGATTAGAGCATGATATCGACCTAGGCTTCCCCGTCAATAAAACCTCCAAGAACCTCTAGCTCATTCAGCTGCGACCTTGAGAGCATGCTCCCTTATGTGTGTACCCTCTGCCATGCACGTGTTCATCAGAGCACTTAAAGCCTCTTGTCTTGCAGCCCTCGACTGATGCCCAAACAGTTCCTTGAGGTTCAGAAGCATATCTGCAGCAGTGGCCATTGACTGATGCTGATGTTGAAGGACATTTGACATAGAAGCCAGAATGTAACACTTCGCCATCTCATCAGCCTTCTTCCACGGAGCATACTCCTGTTTCTCCTCATCTGGGGCATCATCAGCCGGCACATATGGACAAGCCTCAGTTAGCACACACTTATAGCTTTCAGCAGTCAGCACTATGTCTAAGTTCCTTTTCCAATCAATATAATTAGGACCGGTGAGTTGATTTTCTTTTAGGATAATAGACAACGGATTGAACGACATGATGAATAAACCTGAGAATTACGAAAATATTTTACTGATTAAACATTTTGAATTTAACTGTTAATATTGACATCCTCTAAACAATACTAACTTAAATTCACCGACATCCTTAAACATTGAGAATTTAGTATGATGCTCGGGCAACTCTACTAATTCTTCGTTTCTTTAAAGAAGGGTTTTTCCAGAACCCATTAATTTCCATTAGTCAAAACCAATTTCATGACGAACGAAATTAATAGTCGGTCACCTTTTCGCCATGCAATAAAAATCAGGGACCCCTCGGGGAGTTATGAAATGAATCGCATTCTAAGTGAATCCCATTTCTCGGTCCTAAGGTCGTCAAAATCGATTATACGTTCACCTCGGGGTGACCCGTACGCTCTCATTCGATTTCCTCTAACCGTCTAAATTTAGAAATTCGTTCTGATAATTATCCTTCAATTAATTTTCAAGTAATGTCATCCTCGGGAAAGCCCACACTATCAATTAATCGATTACCAACGAATTAGAAATGGAGGCCTTAGGAATTTAAAATTATCTTAACTTTAAATATCCTTCTCAACTTAGTATTTTAAATGAGGATTTTTAATATATATATACATATATATATATATATATATATATATATATACATGCAATTGTAAATAATTCTATGCACACAAGGCAACAATTATTCCCATGCATAAATAAACAAATAAATAATTAATGAAATAAATATATATCCACTATTATGGCCAATTAAATATTTATTCTCCTTGGATTAGGATTTCTGTCCTAAACCAACTGGAACTCCCACTGCAGTAGAATCCCCGTTGACTTGTACTGCAAGTTCCACAAAACCTCCACCAGTAGAAGACGCAGCCGCGCCGGCCAGCCTTGGATCCCGGCTCCGGTATCTTCCTTGCTTTGTCGAGTCTCTTTGGATCTTTGTGAAGGCCCGGTCTCTAACGGTCGATCACAATTCGAAAAATATAATTTACAAAATTACATAAATCGATTCCTAGATCCAACGAGTGGATGTACATGCCTTCTACTAATTAATTAAACTATCCGGTCAACCCCCGGGCAATTAATACAAGCATTCATCCATAATTCCTCGACAATCTCGAGGCTTTAAAAATAAATTTAAAACCATACAACCAACCATCAATTAAGCACAAGCACATAAAAGGGTGGCGCTTGAGCACACATAGACAATATAAGCAATTTAATCTGGATCTTGTACATAACGGATTAACCTCAAGCTCTGATACCAATTGTTGGGACATATGAGGATCTCGATATGCATAAATCACGGACAAACATTCAACATAAACCTATGCGCAGCAGATCTAAAGGTTTGATGAAGAAAACTTACTGCTTAAAATTTATGTAGATCGAGTTGGCCCGAACAGTTGACCGCAAATCAAATCTTCTCGGAATCGAACAAACTTGACCAATCCAGAAAGTTGGCATCACGGTGAAGTCAACGGCGTTGACCGATCGGAAATCGGACGGTTCATGCGCTCTCACGCGCGGGAGTAAGCTCCGGCAGCTGCTCCCTGCCGGCGGCGCGTGGCGGCGCGTGCGGCGGTGATCTCGACGGCGATCTCTTCGTCTCGTCGTCCACGTCGTCGTGGTATGGTCACTTGCAGGTTTTGGTCTCCGGTTTGGATGTATGATAGATCTAATTGGAATCCCGTATATACCTTAAGATCTTCTACTGTATTCTCAAACAGCTATCTAGATCTTGTATCAGTGGAGCACAAGAAATAGAACTACTCCTTGGAAGAGAGAGAGAGAGGGGCAGACGCAATTCCAAGGTTGTGGGATTGTTCTCTTCTTCCATGAGCCTAATGCTGTATATATAGAGCTACAGTATGGACCCTAAGGAGAATAGGCTAAGGGCTTCTAATATATTAATACTGTGGAGCAACCCCACAATTAATATATTAATAATATTAAAGTCCACCACAATAATATTATTGCACTCCCCTCACCTATCCCAAATTACATTTGAGACTCCTTATTATAATTATCCGATTTACCTCCCCATGTTTAAGATATAATGTCCATTAATTAATTCGATCACTAAAAATCAAGAATTAATTAATATATTATATTGCCGAAGCTAGCGCTCGCTCATAGCATTCATATTATGCCGGAATAAATCCACCTGCAGGGTTTAGCATAATATTCCATCATGAACTCACTTCGGGGACATCATCATACTAACGCACATGGTGACCGTAAATATCCTAATTGCACATCGAACACATAATGTCATTACCCAATTCATTAAGTATGTCGACCCGACTTGGATCTCACCCAAAGAATCAAAGCAACAACAATTATGTGCACATGCCTATTTAATATCTTACGGGTTAAGAGCACGCAATAATTAACTGAGGCCTAGTTCGTTTACGATGATCAGTATAAAACGAACATCCCTCTCTGGGATCCTGTTCAATACATAAATGTACTAGTGCAACTAATCGGTCAAGACAAACCATACGGTTGACACTACAACCGTTCCGATGGGTTGTTCAATTCCATCTAGGTTGTGAACCAATGATTCTTGTTTCGCAAGTAACTGATATAGTGATCGACGACCCACTTATCTACATGCAAAACAACAGAACGTGGAACTTATTTAACCAAACATGATTCTCATTCATCAAGAAATAACAAGTGTAATATCCACTAAAGCAAAGCTTAAGTATATAACACCAACACGCCGCGCGTCCGTGAATCGCACATCCGCCAGCCCTCTTCGCGTAGCGACCAGATGGTCTTCTCGTCGACGGGCTACATCCACGGCGTTATGCATCGTGTCTGGTCGCTCCAGTCGGACTTCTGCGGCTAGATCGAATCTCATACCACCTATGAAGGCTCCTACTAGCGCATCCTCAGACCAATCTCGCACGCGGCAGGCTAGTCGTTCAAACTCCTTAATGTATTCACGCAAATTGCCTGTCTGTCGTATTCGTGCGAGGGCCTCATTGTAGTTATGGTAATTGGACGTACCAAATCGTTTCAGCAAATCTCTCTCAAAGTCAGTCCATGTAATGACCTGTTGCCGCCTACGGTAGATCCTTGAGAGCCATTGCCACCACACGTTGGCCTCTCCATCCAGATTGAATGGTGCGTACCTTACTCGATCGTGACCTTCTGTTTCATTCAGCTCGAAGTATTGCGCAATACGGTTGAGCCACGCCTCCGGATCACTACCCGTGAAGATAGACATTACGAACCTCAGCTTGTCGGGCTTTAGCTGTTCTCGGTAGGTGGACGCCTGTGACCGCTGATCGAAATCTTCCTCGTGTTCGTAACCCTCGCGTCGTCTGTCCTCGTCATGTTTGCGCGCGCGCCGCTGCTCGCGTCGATCCTCGCGCCGGGGTGACGGTGTGCGATCCGCATGCTCGGCGTGCCGGCGTGGTTCGCGCCTTGGGGGATCGTCGTGGTGATGCGGTGGTTGCTGCTGGATTGCGCGCAGGACTTCCTCCAAGCGTTGTTCGAGTCGTGTGACAACGGCGTTGGTGTTATTTTGATTTTCGTCAAGCGATCCAAGCCTTCCTTCCATAACCTCGCTCATACTTCGCATCTGGATGTCAAGATTATCAATTTTATCCTTCATCTCCTTGTTGGCCATGAATTTTCTTTCTTCTCTCTGCTCTTTGCTTTGTGGACTCGTGGTGGACGATGACGATGATGATGAACGAAAATATTATTTTTATTTTATTTTATTTTTTTTGATAAGGGGGACGAAAAAACGAAAAGAAAAAGAATGGGAATGGGGTAGAAGAAAAACACACGATCAACACCTCTCAATGAAAGCACCAATGATGAGGATCGTGTGTTTCGATTGCCGATAAGCCGCTAACCCGCACCTTGAATCGCCGATAGTGTTTCTCTAGCGACAACCGCGCCTATTGAAACGATAAAATTACAATAGTATTCTGGTGAAAAGACTAAAGCAAAGTTGGAAGAACAAAGTTCTAGATTTCTATTGATTTCTTGGATGATTGAATTATTATAAAAACATGGGGGAAGAGGCCTTTATATAGGCACAAATTATATCTAGTCCTAATCTACCTAGGGAACTAATAAAGCAATAAAATATTAAGAATCCTAAACAAGCTAGAAATTATAATGGAATAAGGGAACTAAATATCTTGGCTTGCACACCAAGTCTTCCAACCGCCTCAAGCCTTCGGCCCCTCGCGCGCACCGCCTCGCACGCCCTAGTCCTCGAGGACTAGGGCACCGCCTTTCTCCTCTGCGCGTGCGCGCCTGCCTGGCGTGTCTCGCCTGTTGATGCCGCTGGCTGCCTTACCGTGCGCGTGCTGATCCGCCACTCCGCATTCCTCTAGGAGTACGGTCTCGCGCATCGCGCGTGCTCCCCCATCCAGCGTACCGCGCGAGCTTCCGCCCCCGGCTGCCTCCTCGCGCGCGTGCCTCCCCACCATTCCGCACACCTCGAGGCATGAGGATGCGCGTGCTTCCTCGCCGCGCGGTCCTTCCGCGATCGCGCTGGCCAGCATCGCGGCCTGCGCGTCCTGCCCACTTTTGCCATGCACGCCATCCATGCGCACCGACCGCATATCTGTGTGCGGCCCGTTCTCGCTCGTTCTGTGCGCACTACGCTCTAGTGCGCACACTTCTGCCGTGAACCGTGCTTGTCTTCTGCGTGCATGGTAGGCTCGACTTGCGGCGTTCTTGAGCTGCCTAGCCACTTCCGCATCATGCGTGTAGCACGCGCACGCGACCGTTGATGCGGAAGTGGCTAGGCAGCTCAAGAACGCCGCAAGTCGAGCCTACCATGCACGAAGGAGACAAGCACGGGTGACGGCAGAAGTATGCGCATTAACGGGCGAGAATGGGTCGCACACGGATATGTGCACGAATGGCGTGCATGGCGAAAATGGGCAGGACGCGCAGGCCGCGGTGCTGGCCAGCGCGATCGCGGAAGGTTCGCGTGGCGAAAAAGCACGCGCATCCTCATACCTCGAGGTGTGCTGAATGGTGGGGAGTCACGCGTGCGAGGAGGCAGCCGGGGGCGAAAGCGCGCGCGATACGCTGGACAGGGCAGCACGCGCGGTGCGCGAGGCCATACTCTTAGAGGAATGCGGAGTGGCGCAACATGTAACGCCCCGTATTTTATTAATAAAGGAAAATACTAGCTTTCAGTATAAGCTAGCCTTTATTAATAAATAATCATGTTTATGTTCAAGTTCAGAATTTACCATTCAGTTATATTCTATGTTCGGCTATTAGTCGATAAATTATTCGGTTTAATTATTGTAGTAACCGAATAATTTTTCCAGATTTAATTCTGATTCGTTTAATTAATTAATGAGTCCGAAATTAATTATTCAGTCAGCGACACCCCGTCAGAATATCAGTATAAGTTATGTTTTTAGTTCCGATATTAATTATCGAAATTAATTGTTTTCAGTCATTTCAGTCGAGATTACCGAAAATTATTTTCGACGTACCGTTTACGTTCGGAATAATTTTGGTAATTAAGTATTATGCTTAGTTAAATAATTAAGCATTAATTGTGATTATTTAGGAAATTAATCATGCTTAGTTTTATAAAAGCCGAAGCTTATATTCTAATTACTCCAAAAAAGGCCGTACAGAAATTGGACATGTAATGTCCCAATTTTGAAGTCATTTTCCTATTCATGATAAAAGCATTTTTTCCCCTTCTATTAAGTAACTTCACGTGGCTTTTGGGGAGATGTTAGGAGGGATTAGTCATCCCTAGAGCCTCTAATCAGATTCCAAGTGTCAAATGCCTAACTAAACACATCTTCACTCTATCATTTATTTTTCCCCTCGGTTTGTATAAACTGGGGGTTAGATACGATTTTTTTTCCCACAGCATGAGCCTGTAGTATTCTCCCAAACACTAAATAGAGTTCAGTAAAAGAGCTTAGCAAGATTAAGAGTTCTACCAAGCCTAAGCATCACACACGGCAAAACTAGCACCGCACGGCCACACTCGGACGTGTACGGAACAAAGATCACGCTTATCTTTCGATTTCAGCTGAACATTTGAAGGAGTAACTTCATCCTCATCTTATAATCCTGTTAGTAAGGCCATAATAAGGTTAAGTGTTTGATTTATATTCAGAAATTATGGGAAAATTCATGTTGAGGTTCGAATATGCTTAAGTCAAATCGTGATCGAATAACTATTTGTTTTACCCAGCAACTCTCGAACCATTTATGTTTAAACGATCAGTTTACCTCCTTTTATGTTCAGTCATTTGATAATGGTCGAGGAAAAATGATGTTCTATTGGTTAAATGGCTCAAACCGTCGCTAGCGCTTATCGCGCGTGGCCACGGGCGGCACCGAGCCATATCCTGTTACTTTCGGTTATGGTCACGTTCTTTCGTGTGATTTATGTCTCGATAGTCTCATAATGATGTTCACGTTAAAATGGTCTGGAGTTTCCGAGGGAAAAGATGATTCGGTCGAGAGACGGCTTATCGACGTCGGCGGCGCACGGCGCGCTCGCCACGGCCCGTTTAGTTGATCATGCTAAAGGTTATATTTTTAAGTCATTTGATGATTATGTTCATGTTGAGTCAGGTGATGTTGTTTTACGTTGAAGTTGTCGGAAAAAAATGTCGGACGACCGGCAAGGGTCGGCTGCGGGCCGTGCTGTCCGCACCTAGCGGCAGTGCCCCGCAGTGCCTGCGCCCGCGCACATAGCACGGGGCAGTGCTCTGGCCGATGCTGCGCTGCGCACGACGCACGCATGCATCTCGCCACTCAGCTACGCGTCCAGTGCACGCCGCACGCACACCAGCACGCCCGGCAGCGTGCCATATGTGCTCAGCAGGTCTCGGTGTTGCCTGGTAGCATGCCGAACGTCCCGTCAGTTCAGTACGCGCAACCCGCGCACCAGCCACCTGCCGACAGCGCACAGCAGCGCCCGGCAGTGCTTGTCCATGCCAGTGCTGTCGCCAGCGTCCGCGGCAGTAGCCAGACGGGTCCAACAAGTACCCAGTGCATGCCAACCGTGGTCAGGTGCACGCAGCTCTCTCGGCCACGGCCATGGCAGGCAGGCTGCGACGGCCGTGCCCGCACCCGTTCAGCCAGGAGTCGTGCCACGGCCATGGCAAGGCCGTGGGCCGAGTCAGCCGCCAGCCGACCGGTCCGAGCAGACCGGCAGTTCGGTTGGACCGGTTCCGACCGGTTGATACCAGTTTGACCCACATAATGTTATTTTAGCCCCGGTTCACATTTTAAGTGCCATTTCAGTTAAATTTTCTGGGATTATTTCAGTTCAGTAAATTCATGTCCAATCAGTTCATGTCAGTTCAGTTCCGGTTATTCCGGTTAAGTCTAATATCATGTTAAGTTCAGTAGAGCATCTTAACGAAATTAATTAGTTAAGTTAACAGTCTGAGCATAGTCATTAGTAATTGTTTATATTATTTTCAGTTTGATCAGGCATCAGCACTACCGTTCAGTTCAGCAGTTCAGGTGGGGACTCAGACTACGAACTACATTGATTATAATTACAGTACCATGTTTGAGGAATGTATTTCAGTTGAGGTATCCGCTCGGAATGGTCGCCGGTCCATTCTGGGTTCTAGTGGCCCTAGTCTGCCCACTAGAGTGTGCACATAGTGTCCGGCTTTGCCGGCAGATGAGGTAACGGTCAGGGTCACGGTTGTGTGACAATTTCAGGGTCACGGTTTCGTGACGATTTCAGATTCATGTTCATGTTATTACTGGCTTGAGGTTGAGGTTATGTATATACTGATATCATGATGTTGCTATTATTTTCAATGTTTACATTAGTATGAGTTTCCACGGAGCACAGTGCCATAGTGCTCATTTCCCACTTTTATCATGTTTTTCAGGTCAGGATGTCGGGCCGGGAGCGTGACGTGACGGAGGCTTCAGGACATTTGTGTTTTTGACTGTATATTTATGATGATGACTTACGCTTCCACTAATGATGTTTTGTTGACTTGTGACGATGTTTTTGATTTCTTTTGACGTACTCATATTTTGACGAACTTAACTTTCAACGGATTTTTGGAAAACTTTATGTTTCAGTTTCAGTATGATTTTCTTAAAAATTAAAATAACGGTTTTCCAAATTAAGTCAAGTTTCTAAGGTATCACCCCTAATCAGTTTTCGCAAAGTAAAAAGATTTTATTTTTAAAAGACTTTGCGAAGTTTTGCGCGCTCTGATTTTACGATAAGGAGGGGTGTTACACAGCAGCACGCGCGCGGTAGGGCGGCCAGCGGCATGGGCATGCGCGACAAGCTGAGCGGGTGTGCACGCACCGAAGAGGAAGGCGGTGGCCTAGTCCTCAAGGACTAGGGCGTGCGAGGCGGTGCGCGTGAGGAGCCGAAGGCTAGAGGCGGTGGAAGACTTGGAGTGAACACCAAGATAATTAGTTTCCCACTAGAATAATAATTAGGACACTTAATATTTTATTGCTTTATTTTATCCCTAGGT